AGAGCTTAGAAGTAGAATTCAAGACTCTTTTATGAGCATACTTTAATTTTGATTTTTCACATGAGAATATTCAGTAGAAATATAAAATTGTAGATGTTGTGTAGATACCTCTCCAGCATTCACAGGCCAGTGGAACAGTTTACTGCTTTCTCATCAGGGCAGGAGCAGGAGTATGTGGTGACCTCTTCTCTCTGGTAACCAACAACAGAACTCGAGGGAATGGTAGGAAGATGTGCAGAGGGAGGTTTAGGTTGGACATTAGGAAGAGATTCTTCACCCAGGGGGTGGTGGAGCACTGGAATAGGCTCCCCAGGGAAGCAGAAATGGCACTGAGCCTGACAATATTCAAGAACACCCTCAGGGGCATGGTGTGAACTTTGAGGTTGTCCTGTTCTGGGGCAAGAGTTGGACCTGGTGATCCAGGCTGTCTGAGGAGGTGGTTGAGCCACTATCCCTGGAGGCATTCAAAAAGACAGGTATGGTACCAGGGGACAGGGTTTAGTGGTGGACATGGCAGAGTTAGGGTAGTGGTTGGACTCTATGATCTTGAAGGTCTTTTCTAACCAGAGCGATGCTGTGATTAACTTGTCTCTTACTGTCATAGTTTTAGACAATGGAAATAGAAAGGTGGCATTTGCTGTAAATGTTACAAGTTGTTGAACAATCAAGGGAAATTCTGTGGAACACAGATCCTGAGCCAACAATCTAATCTGTAAAATGTTATTTCTAGCCTTGTCTTTGAAGCAGTAAACTTGCAATAAACTCATTATTTGAGGATGCTTTGTTATGGTTTCCTGTAAATGATGAGTAATTCTGAGGTTACTGAAAAATTAGCAAGGACATATCACAGATGATGTAACAAACGAGAACTGAAAACTGAAAGTTAACTGCAGTTAAATAACAGAGATGCTATATTAGTTCACTTTTCATCTTCTCTTAATTATTAACAAACTGGGAATGGAACAAAATGCATATTTTATTTAAGTGTGCAAATAAGGGCATGTTGACATTGTAACATGAAAAGAAGGCCAGTTATTTGGAAAAAAAAAAAAAAAAAAGCTGACTTGCTGGAAAAAGGGTAATATAATTTTGGCTTTCTCTAATGACTGTAGTTAAATATTATCAAGCAGGTAAATAGTGCAGTATTATTACTTTAATTTGAAAACTGAATTTTCAAGGGGAAATGAAACTGAATGTGTAGTAGAGACTGAGAAATTGAATCAGTTTATGCCAATACCATGTTGTCAGACTTCAGCAGGTTTTCAGAATTATTTCTTCTGATATTTCTAATAGCCTATGTAAGACTTGTCAGCCTTTAGCCAATAGTATTTTTCTAACAAGTGTCTGTTCTACTGTCTTAAAGAACACACTTCTCTCAAGATACTTTTTCCTGTCTCAGAGGTGTGGATTTGTAGCAGCAATTGTTTATGTCATTAGATCTACATCTGATGTGTCCAGGTTTTGTGAACATTCAAATGGCTGTTTTATGGAAGACCAAAGATAAACATAGCTAATATCCTGCCTCCAACTCTGGCTAATAGTGCTTGCTGTAATAGTAAGAACATAAATTAAGGCAAGAAGCTGGTAATGTTTTCCCAGTCTGCAAGAATGTGAAACTTCTGAGCCAGATGTTTTGTCTTTGTATTTTTCTTAGGAAAATCTTTAATTTAATAGGTAAACTCTTATTTTCAACAACATCACAGTGTAATCACAAGTTGGGTTAAACACATCCTTTTGTTTTAAAATTGCTGCTCACTATTTTCATTTGATGTTCAATCATTCTCCACCATCTGCAAGCCACTGAAGACATTGAAGACTACATTTATATACTCAGTCATCTCTTCCAGGCTTTGTTGTTTGTGTAATCAATACAAATTATCATCCTTTTCTCTTTTATTGCATCCATGTCAAATATGAATATGATTTTCTTGGATGTACCAGTTTATGGCTCAAATTCTGAGTAGCCAATCTACCTTTATTCAGTGGCCACTTGTCTGGCATTTCCAAACCTCCAGCATTTGTCTAAAACCATCTGTTCTTTCTGCCTAGGAATATTTTTAATGGAGCTACTATCCCACTTGGTTTTCTATAGGTCAGGAAATTCTGGACAAATTAAAAATGTTCAGACTCTGCCTGGACATGTGTGCTGGTTTGAGCCAGGATAGAACCAATTTTCTTTTAGTAATTTTACTTTTTGTTTTACCTTTTTTACAGGAAACTTGTAATAAGATGCCCCATCCAGTATTGATATGGTAGTTCTGCTGATATGTATGGCCACTTACTTCACTGAATCTGTTTTCTCCTGTTAGTTGTTTTGCTAGTTACCCCAGTAACAACTAGTACTGACCAAAACTTCTTTGTCAACACTTCAGTAGACTTCTCCAACCAAAAATTGACATAGAACCATTCAATGCTCTGGCATTCGGCTGGTGCTTGTCCAGGAGGCTTTTTCACAGATGGCAGTGAGCCACTCGCCACTAGAGGCTCCTGAGCTGAGACAAAGGACAAGGAGGGCTCTTCACCGATTAAGGTCCCAAGCGAAACAGACTCACCTTGGGTAAAAAATAATAATTTAATTCCACACTAACCAAACACACCCAGGACACAGACACACACACAGCAGGGCTTGTATATGTTACCCCACCCCTCCCTTCTTCCCGGGCCCCAATCCCTTGGTTCCCGGTTTCTCTCCCTCCTTCCCCCCAGCGGCACAGGGGGACAGGGGATGGGGTTTAGAGTCACTTCACAGGCTGGGGGGTCCTGCTGCTCCTTCCTCCTCAGGAAGAAGGATTCCTTACAGTCCTGCCCTGCTTCCCCACGGGGTCCCTCCCATGGGAGAGAGTCCTCCAGGAACCTCTCCTTCCTGAGTCCTTCCCACCAGGTCCGGAGCTGCTCCAGCCTGGGCTTCCCACAGAGTCACGGGGGCTTCGAGAACAAGCTCCCCTGGCCCGGGGTCTTCCACAGCTGTTCAGTCAGAGTCCACAGGCAGCAAATCCAAGTTCACCCCTCCTGGCACCTTCAAGGAATGTCCCACCACGTTCCTCCATGAGTGCAGGGGCACAGCTGCCATCTCGCCATGGGCTGCAGGGAAACTTCTGCTTGGGCACCTTCTGCCCCTTCTTCCTCACCAACCACCAGCCCTGCTCTCCTTCCCCAGCACTGCTCTTATCCCTCAAGTGCTCCTCTGCTCGGGTGTTATCTCTGTTCTTTCATGTGTTAATGGCAGAGGTGCATCTGTTGTCCCTCTAATGGCTCCTTGGCTGGGTTTGGGGCAGGGGAAGCTTCTCAGCTTCTTACCTGAGCCACCCATGGGGCCCTTCCCCCACTACCAAAAAACCCACCAAACCAAAACAGCACAGAAATCTTGTGAGAGAAGTGAAAGACATTTAAAATGTCTGTATTTTGGTTCCATGTTCTGGGAAGTGAAGATGTGGAGATGATGAATGAGTGAAATGTAAAAGCTGAATTTTCATTTGTCACACCAGGGTTTACAATTTCAAGTAGTTCTTGTAATTCCTCATATTATAGGATGTTTTCTCCTTGTGTAAATTTAATTAATACATCTGCTTTTTAGTTTGTAAATGGAGGGGTTTTTTTTTAATCCTCCATTCTTACATGCTCATTCATTTGGAATTCTAATTTGCTAGACTCAGAATTTACAACTATCGCTTTGTTTGACAGTATGTTGGACTAAGAGGAAGATCTGACACACACTTTAAGTGGCTCTTAAAACTGTCTGACCTTATCTACACCATCACTCCTAGTGTGGAAAAGTCCAAGAATCTTGGATTCCGCCTTTGCTTTGTCTCTGGAGAAACTAGGGCAGTTTTGATTAGAGATAAGGTACATGAGGCATAATAATTCTGAAACGTAGTGGGGCCAAATAGTAATCCTTGAGCTAATTAAAAATGGTGGCATAGCAAGCCAAATACTGACAAACACTCTCAGCATACTCAATTTATGCAAAGAAAAGATTAAGCAGAACACATTATACCAATTCTCTGGATGAAATAAACTGTACTTAAAAAGCAGTCTTTGCTAGTGAGATAACACTGCTGGAATGAATGTCTGTGTAGTATATAACGTAAAGATGCTTATGAAAACTAGTAACTGAAGTCTTCCTGAACATCAGTTTAAAAGAAATACCAAGTAGTAAGATAAACATCCAAATCCCACTAGATGGGAATCAACAGTAGGTCAGTTATATTAAAATCATAGATTTTAATAAATAATTCAGTGCACAAAGCCATAGAAATAAGATTTTAATATTGTTCTGAAGACAAAAACAAAGGTTTCACAGAATGCATATTTTAATGTATCATTAAACCATAGTTTTTAATCAATCCTGACTATTTTCTTACTGACAATAAAGCACTTTTCAGACTAGAGGGGGGAAATTTGATAATAGAGTAACACAACCCTAGAAAATACCACAGCTGTAATTTATAATTTGTATACTGGAATATCTCTTGAAATGGATTAAGTCGATTTGTTATATGCAGCATTTGTATCAGAATAAACATGCCGTATGATATGAGGAAGCAATAGTATCTTAAGTTTTAAAAAATTCCTTACTTGAATTCTTACAAATACTGTGCTTCAAAGCCTTTAGGTTCTTTTAGGGATGTACATTGTGTTATTTTGCCCCATAATGAATCTAATTTTCATTTTATCAGGACTGCAATGTAAAAAAACAGCGAACACCTAAGTATAGTGCTATTAATGTTCTTGATCTGTGTTACTTAAACCAACTAAATTCAAAACATTATAATCTTTTGTTCAGCTTCATGGTTTTATTTGAGTGTCTCTCAAGACACAAAAGGACTTCCTCCTAGTTCCAGTTGCATTGACTCATTCTTCTTGGTAAGGTAGTTACAAAGAATTTTATTTTGAGCTCTGATGGGTTTTTTTGTTCATTCAGATATTTGTGACAGTTCCTTTTTTACCTCTTGATTTTATTTTAATTTTTTTGTTTTGTCAAGACTGACCACAGTTTGTTATTAAGCTGAACCATTTTCTTCATCTTCCTCAGAGTCGTCGTCGTCATTGTAGAAGTGAATTGTAGCTTGTACTGGAAAACTCGCCAGAACCTTCTCTCCGATGTTACTAAGAAACTCTTGGGATTTAGACTTGGGCAAATAAAGTCTAATGAGAGAAAATATTTGAAGACAAAAAGTAAAAATATGAGACACTTCCCCAGCTAAGCTACTTTGAATTTTAAAGCCTATTTTTATCTTTCTTTGGCGAGAGACAAATCCTAGGGATCCTGGCCTTCAAAAGTAAAAATTTCTACCTAAAAGGTACTGGTGATTTTAAGTTACCTCAGTTGCTTTGCGCATATTGTGTGTTGGATTTACCTAAGGTCCCACCCTGATAAAGTGCTGCCAGGGCAATGATACATGCTTGAGATGGTTTGGTTTTTAGTACAGTTCAGAATGGAAGTGTCCCATGGAAGTGGGAAAGTTTGAGGAATATTCTGGGATTCTGGAATTCAGATTAAGTCACCAGGTTAAGATTGGGGTGGGTTGCCTATTGCACAGAGGCTGATCTCAGTGGGCTTTGTGTCCCTGGGTGGAGGTGTACACCAAGAGAGATTTATTTCAAAATTCACATTGGTTTGTATTGAAATAGTAAATGTCTTAATTTACATTTCAGGTTTTCACCAGCTTTCCTACTAAAGCAAAATGTAAGTGGTCTGTATAAATATGTGTGTGGTTTTGTGTGCGTAGCTATGGACATCTCTTCCTCTTGGTTCCACTTGGGCCAGTTTTCAATTAATTTTGACAGTAATAAAGGTCACACAGAATTTAAACTTCTACAACTTTTATAAAAAACAGTGCTTATAAAAAAAGAAATACATTCAATTAATTTTCCTCCTCTAAATGCAAGTAAAAATCAGGAGTTTCTGCATCATTAAGCCTTAAAGAAGCCAAATATTGGTGAAAATTCTTATAAATTCCCCAAGCATAAGAAAAGCTTTACCCAGAGTTCAGATTTTATTCCAGAGCAGTTTTAAACAAGCTCAACAGAGCTCTAACAAGTCACATTCCATAAGTAGCTCTTCACATTAATTATTTGGGCTTTGTGGGCTTGTACCTATGTTAATAAATGTGAATAGAAATTAGATGAGGCAGAAGAACATTATTTCTTTTAAGATTACTTTTTTCTTACTTACGTTATTAGCATAGTGTTTCAGGTTCTGTTCAGTCTGGGCATTTTTCCTCGTGGAGGGATAAAAATCTATGGAGTTTGGTGAGTAGTTAAACTGTATTACCAAAAGGAGATACTCCAGAGAAAAACTTATTCTGAGAAGCAATATATCTTGTCTCGAAAGGTGTCACTTTTCCTGTATCAAGTGATACGATTTGACTCACCTCACTGGATGCTGAAACCCCAAGGCTCCTTTTGATCTAAAATGTATTAGTTGACTGTCCAGCTCTGACTGTAAAAAGACATATTTATTATGTTTACATGGAACCTCCTATGCTCCAGTTTGCACCCATTGCCCCTTGTCCTATCACTGGACATCACTGAAAAAAGCCTGACTCCATCCTCCTGACACTCACCATTAACATATTTGTAAACATGGATGAGGTCACCCCTCAGTCTCCTTTTCTCCAAGCTAAAGAGACCCAGCTCCCTCAGCCTTTCCTCATCAGGGAGATGTTCCACTCCCTTCATCATCTTTGTGGCTCTGCACTGGACTCTTTCAAGCAGTTCCCTGTCCTTGACCTGAGAGGCCCAGAATTGGACACAATATTCCAGATGAAGCCTCACCAAGGCAGAATAGAGGGGAGGAGAACCTCCCTCGACCTAATAACCACACCCTTTCTAATACACCCCAGGATGCCATTGGCCTTCTTGGCCACAAGGGCACATTGCTGGCTCATGGTCATCCTCCTGTCTACCAGGACCCCCAGGTCTCTTTCTCCTACCCTGCTTTCCAGCAGGTCAGCCCCCAACCTGTACTGGTACCTGGGGTTGTTCTTCCCCAGATGCAAGACTCTACACTTGCCCTTGTTGAATTTCATCAAGTTTCTCCCTGCCCAATCCTCCAGCCTGTCCAGGTCTTGTGGAATGGCAGCACAGCCTTCTGGTGTGTCAGCCACTCCTCCCAGTTTAGTGTCATCAGCAAACTTGCTGAGGGCACACTCTGTTCCCTCATCCAGGTCACTGATGAAAATATTGAATAGTACCGGTCCCAGTACTGACCCCTGAGGGACTCCACTAGTCACAGACCTCCAACTAGATTCTGTCCCATTGACCACAACTCTCTGACTTCTTCCTTTCAACCAGTTCTTGATCCACCTCACTACCTGATCATCAAGACCACACTTCCTCAGTTTATCTATGAGGATGCTGTGAGAGACAGTGTCAAATGCTTTACTGAAATAAAGATAAACCACATCTACCACCCTACCATCATATTGTTAATTTTGCTCAAGTTCTTATAGTATATAGAGACTGGTAAGCTAATAACACCAACAAAAGGAAATTCAGTGATTGGAAGAAAGCAGGATTTTCAATCAGTTTAAAGGATTGGGACGTTAGAGTTTTATAAAATACCTTTTTAATTACACTAATCAGTATTTTGTAGGTAGAATGTTCAAGTCATCAAGCTTAATTTGTGATCAAAGATCATACAAGCATGTTAAGAGTCCAAACAGTAAAATCAAGAGATACCTGGCATTGCATATTTCTATGCAAACAGCAATAAAAAAGCAAGCATTTTTGATACAAGAGAGGAGGTAGTAAAAATATATTTTAAATGTCAAATTTAAATTTAGGTCAGAATAAATTCCTTCAAACTAAGGTCACAATAAAAATTAATAATAATTTGCAAATATTAAACCTTACTAAATCATATTATGATTATAAACATGGAATGTAGACCTGAAAACATGTCCCAAAGTCACTAAGCCCTGTCACTTCATTTTGTAGGCATGGATTCTTTTCCATACTTTGAAACAAGAAGACTTTTTTTTTCCCTTCCTTTTGCTATAAACTTGATGTTGCATAAAATAGGAAGATTTAGCATAGCTACACTAGAAGTTCTAGTGAAAAAAATCTAGAAACCGTCAGCTCTGCTACAAATAAATATGACTTTTGCTACTGTCAGAGCAATTAATCTGACTTTCTGAGGAAAGAGGCTTTAGCATGGATATTCTGATGGGCCTCAAAAAGCCCTTGGGCTACAGAATGAGCAAGAGGTCCTATAGAATTCTCTCTGTACCTTTTACGTTGTCCAGTTTCACTCATACCCACCTATTTGTCTTATAGCCAAAATTATTTGTTTTCAGGCTGTTTGAGTTTTGTTGATTTTTTAAAAAATTATTATTATTATTTATTTAATCAGGAGACTCATTTACTTTGTTTCCACAGTACCTAGTAAGATGGACTCCTGATCTGGCTGAACATTGTAGATGTTACCATATTACTTACGTTAAATAACATATGTTATTTTTTTTTTCTTTCATATTTACATTAAAATAATCCCTTTAATCTTTATTGATCTGTATTTTCTACTGTCTTCTCTTTGGAATACATATTATTTTTAAATAAGTACATCTGTAATAATACAGATTGACTAAATGCACATTATATGCTTTTTATTTTCAGACTATAATACAGCATTTCTGGATTCTGATGGAATTAAAATAATTGCAAAATATAACTCAGTTGTTTGTATACAGAAAAAAATAATAAATCAGTGTTAATTTCTATTATGTTGTAGATATTGCAGTAGTAACCTTAAATTACTTCTCATGGCTTTTCTTGGAGCACAAGTAACAATATATTTTAATTAAGGTAGCAGAAAAAGTGTTACTTTTTAGATAAACAAAAGTGTTATTATGTGTAGTAGGTAACTATAGGGTATGTTGTAACACATGTTCTTGGCAATAGAGGAAATTTTTTATATATATATAATTTTTAGCAGTAATTCTTAGTGCATTGCTCTGCATCTTTCCATTTCTCATGTTAGATTCTTATATGTATATTCCTAAACATTTTTTATTATACAGAGGACACTGAAACTTGTATTTGCTTCACTCTCCAGTGTTTGGAGTGTCTGCCAATCTGCAAAGCATTTGCATTTGTATGAATACATTGCAGAAAATAAAAGTAGGCAGTATGCAACTAACTACCAAAAGTATTGTGCTCAACCTATCTTTGATGGCCTTCTGCTAGAAGCCTCAGTAACTTTGGTGAAGAAGATACCTCTTGCCTTCCACAGCTGTGTGATGTAGATGTGCCTGAGTGAGCACCAATTCCCACCTATGCACCATAAAAAGTAACCAAGCATCTTTCCTCAGTTGTTGCAGTCCTGTTAACAAGCATGTGAAAGGGCTCCTACAGGCCTCCTTAGGTTCTATGCCACAGAGGAATCTAGGATGCTGAAGCAGTGTGGATGGGCCATAAGGTACGGATGAGAAGGGTCTGAGAAGCTCCTGCCAGGAAGGAGAAATGTTAAAAAACGGAAACCAGTTGTTCCAGGTGTATGTGGCTTGAAACAATGCCAGGCATTAGCATTAGTTTGGAAAACTTCATATAATACTTAGTTTCTTGAAATCATCACTGTAAGCTCGTACTTGAGTGAGAGTAATGCTCCTCTCAACATTAGCAAATTTATAGGCGCCTCGAAAAATCTTGGAACACTGGCTGGGATAGGCATTCTTCCACAGGCCTTCCCACGGTGTCTGCTGCAAGGATTGTGGCATTGCACTGACAGGTCTGTATAGCTACAATCTCCATCTTCAGCAGACAAAAAATTCAAGGTTAAAAAGTGTTGCAAGTGTTAGAATACACTAGAAATTGTGTCTTTAAAGACTTGCTCTGTGGAAGAGCTGTCATTTTAACCTGATGAGACTTGGGTGAAAAGCTGAAGATATAATTGTGGATCTGACGCTCCAAAAACTTTTGCAGGTGCTGAAAACTAAGCATGAGAGCAGCACCAATTCAATACATTTTTTAAAGTCTGCGGCTTTGGGATCTGTGTTGAATATGTTTCAATCTCTCTTGTTCTTCCAGCCTAACAAATCTTCCTACAGAAGTAAGTGTAACTAATAATCTTTGCCTTGCAAAGGCATTTGATAGTAACAGCTATCTTAAAATCCAATTTTCTGCTGATTTCCTAGCTGGCTTAGCTGTAGCAAAATAATGCTAATCAATAAAACTGTGCACCTGAAAGTATGTTTTTAAAAATTTCATCTTAAAGTCACTGTCACTCAAACTCCCCCTATATACAGAGTATCACATATGGACTAGACCTGGAAATTTCAAACTGAAGACATTTTTATTTTTGTAATTAAGCAAATAAAAACTGGTGTTAAAATAAGGATAGTTTTACACCAAGTAGTGCTTTCTATTGTTCTTTAGGAACTGATAATGATTCTATATCTGATACATAATCAAAGAAACTCTTAACTGTTGTCATGTACAGAACACTGTAATTTGAACTGTGTTTTCTGCCACTGAAGAAATGCTTGAAAGAACAAATGAGTAGATGACCAAGCCTCACTTGCTATTTTCAAATAGTTTCAAATTCTGCAGCTGTTTTCTATAAGGATTATTTTCTCCAGAATTTATTCTCACCATTTGTTGATTCTCTGACATCTCACCATCTCTTACTGTGACCAGCCAGGGCCTCCACAGAGCAGGGCTGCTGAAAGATTAAGATAGAACAGCGCTCCCACAGTTAATTCTTTGTGGTAATATCTGCACAGTACAGCTTCTTTTGTTAGGTTCTGCTGGCATCTTCTGTAATAACATGATTTATTTTTTTTTCTTTCCAACATATTTTGATTTGGTAAATGTGATTTCTAAGGCAATATCAATCTGTCTTGTCTACTAACTGGTTAAGCAACCTAGACAATGGCTCGCACATTTTTAACTAAGGTCTCATTTCTCTTTAAGTTTTCACAACTCAAAGTGACCGCATTTAACTCCAAAAGACGATGTAATTAATACTGAAATATTTTTATTTATGCAGCACCAGTACAAAATAAAAACTAACCCTCTCTGACAGTATGTCTAAATACAGACTCTATGTTATCATTGTGTGGCTGGTTATTTATTGAGTCAGCAGCTCCAGCATTTAACTGACATGGTCAATCTGATCTAATAAGCTTAAGAGAGCATACACTGTGGTCCTTTCAGATATAAAAGGTAAATAAACTAAGGGAAAAAAAAAACCAGTTACAGCAACCTAATTTTAATTTCCTTCTATGTATAGGTAAGTTTGGAAATATTTGACTGAAAACAATAAAATATTGGCAAAAAGAAATAAAATACCTGTTCCAACTGAGACATTTTCAGAAACACATTTTGCCCTTTACTTCCAAAGTTGGAAGTTGTTTTCTGTTGTCTGTTCAGTGCCGAAATCCTGGCATTCGGATGCTACTTACAGCCCGAGTTTTGCAAGGAAAGCTGCCGAAGAGTGTCTCCCTGTGCCTGCCTTACCTCTCCGGGCGCTCCCTGGGCTGGGGCCGGGCGCCCCGGGAGCGGTGACAGATGAGCCCCGCTGCAGCCTGGAGCGGGAGACCTGCAGCTGCACCCTCCATAGCACTGGATGCTCTACAGCCTGTGACAGGCTGGGCGCCTGCCTGGGCCTTTCGGCCCCTCCTTTCTCTGAACTCCCGAGGAATACTTACCTAAAACAAACACGGCCTCAGGTAAAAGGAGAGAAACCTCGTTAATGAGATTTATTTTTTTTTTACTCCCCCAAACAGTTCAGAGATAGGGCTCTGAGACGGGCAGGCTGGCCTGGAGGGAGCACTGCTAGGGAAACCGAGGCTTTTTGTTAGCAAATCACATGGGAAATAATAATTCATGCCCTTTATCTTTCTGCTGCTGTTCTACAAAATCCATATTTGCTCTATACGAAATATATGATGTAAATACTCTTTTTGCATGTCTTGTGAAAATGATCAACATCCTATCCTCACAAATAACTATAGGTAGATTAGAAGAGAATTTTAAATTTAAAATAATTTTTAAATGACTGAAGTCTTTTCCAGGTCCCAACTTTAAAAGAGGAAAAGATACCAAAAACTAGTGAAGGTGAGAGGATATGAAGTGAGGCCTAAGCAACTTCCTCAGGCCTACAGGGATGTTTAATTTGATTGCTATTTCATGAATAGTGAAGCCTGTGCCAAGAAATATTACTTCGGCAATCAAAGAACAAGGGTTATGAAATGCTTCAGCTTTGAATAATTTTTTATTTCAAAGTATATGCTTTAAACCTGCAAAGACTGAATAGAAACAGACTTCTTCCAAGCTTTCTTCCCACTGTTTTAATTTGTAGTGAGCATTACTCAAAGCCTGTTACATTGTACAAGAACAATTTATTACCTGGTGGGTGACATTATCTGATTTCCATTGTTGTGGTTCATTGCTGCAGTTCACTTTGTTTCTTTCATTTTGCAACTACTGCAGAGATCTAAGAGGATAAGAACCTAAAGCTGATTTCTCTTTCCACCGATACTGTTTACACATTGACATCAAAGGAAACAGATTCCGCTTCCAAATACAATTATTTTCTACTATGAACTTTCTTCCCAGAGAGAGAAAAATAATTTTGTTTACTGAACATGGAATGTCCATTGATTACTTAGTATGAATTACATTCCTTCTAACTGATTTAGCTGAAGGAACCATCGAAACAGTCAGTTTGAGAGGACACTGAAATTCCCAGTTGGAGTCAGATCCCTCTGAGGTAAGCCTTGTGGCTCTTTTTAAATTAGGATCCAGCTGGAGGGAGCACAAGACCAGTCAGCAAAACAGAGCTGGACTCCCAGATAAAGACCACTAGAGATGTAATTTTCCCCTGAAATTGTTCTGTATTAGAAAACATTGCGTATATACTCTTTCATGTGTGGGGATTTGGTGCCTTCTACCAATTTAGCTCAAAACAAAATGTCTTTCTTTAACAGGGAGGAGCTCAGGTCAGATTTGACAGTCAAACTGATTTTCCTACATTGATGGAAGTTGTATGGTTGTGTTAGCTACTTGGCACTTCTAAGACTGCTAAAACTAGTAACGTAACACAGATTCTGATGTTATTGAAGTAGTGCTCAGTAACAGAATCTGGAATTTGATTTGTTGAGGTCCAATTCTTACATAAATTTTCCCTGTTCTTTAAAACATCCCCTCTTGCTATGACAAATAGACATGTTTTAAACTCAAAGGATAAAGCCATTAAATGATGTTCTGGAAGGCACTGACTCTACATGAAAGAGGACTTGCAGTCTAAATCTACTCCCTCTCATGTTTAAATACTGTGTGATATTTGTAAAGTTATAACTAAGTTATACCTCAAAGAAGAAATTGTGCTTAATCTCAATCACTTTAAATTTATTTATAAAAAACAGTATGATTCTTAGAATTAAGAATATGGTGAATGTATTAAAATAACAAAATAGATATTAAATAGCAGCACCAGTCCTGAGAAAAAATGGCAAATTTCTTAAGTAACCTGAATTGTAATTAAGTATCTTGCCGAATTACAGTCTTAAATACACATAAATAGTTACATTATTGTACTAATGAATCCAAGCACACAACTTTAACCAGTATTTTCATGGAAACCATTAGCTAAAATGAGGTTGCAGGTCTGTGGAAAATTGTTCATTCCGGTAAAATACAAGCAGCTGCAATAGTCTACGAGCTCTAGTTTCTTAAAAATTTTAAAAAAGGCAGCTTTTAGGCCAGCCATAGCTGTCAAATTTTAAGAACCATATTACTTTTTTTTTTGCAATACACTTTATTTTAATACAAGCTGAAGTATTTGGTGAAAAACACTGAATCAGAAAACACCATTTCTGTTACAGTTGCTTATCCATTTTTCCCAGAGGCCAGGATATTTTTCAGACTTCCGATACTACCTGAGAATAACTTGGACAGACTTGATTCTTACAGAGATGAACCATAAGGTAATTTTGTTTTAATCAGAAGGGATTTTCTGTCTTTCTGGGAAACCTGTTTTACTCATTTTTCTCATTAAAGCACTTGTGCATTTGCAAGAATAAAGAATGTTCAACAGAAATTTGTATGGTCAAGGAAACAGCATAGCTCCACAGCATTTATAGTTTTGAATAATATCTGGTATTAAATAACATGACATTGGCATTTGGGGCCACTAACAGCACACAAAGGTCCTTGAAGAGAAATTGTTGGAAAAGCTTTTAGGGAACAGAGGGAGGAGGAAATGGAGCCACTCAGAAAGTACAGCAAGGTCAGTCTTGTAATATTTTTTTTAAGTCAGAAAGAGACACCCATCTATGCTGAGGTTACATGGTAGATGTCCTGATTTAAATAGTAAGGGCGAGCCACAACCTAAAGATTCATTCAGGAGAGGAACTGGTGTTTTTCTCCCTCTCTAGTCTGGATGCCCTATCACCCAGCTTCTCACAAAGGTTTTTCCACTCCTCAGCAGTTTTTTTCCACAGCTGAGAAACAGACATTTAGGGGGTTAGAGACACGGTCCGCATACTGCCTTAGCTGGTTAGAAAATTCATCGACACTTGGTGGCATTTTGCCATTTCCCGCAAAGACCCTTCCTCCCAAAAAGGTGGAATACATAGGAGGAGCACTCTGTGCGAGCTTCTTTACCATAAGCTTACTTCATGGCATCTCGTCAGGGCTTTCAGGTGCTTCCCCACTACCACAGATGACCTCCCAAACTGCCAGCTCTCTCAGATATGTAACACCTCTTTCTATGGCGTTCCACCTACTGGGGAGGTGGAACATGTCCTCCCTATGGGAATATCGGCTTTTTACAGCCATTAATAGGCGGTGCCAGAGAAGGTAAGTACCGTTTTACCTCCCAGTAATTTTATCAATGCCTGCATCTCTGGCTATAAATGCCAACTGCAGAGCCTCCCTGTCCTTCAGATTTGCCCCATCAGCTCCCAGCTCATAACACTGCAACAGCCATGAAATCAGTGACTCGTCCTCCCTACGAGTATAATCCTTTCTTTTATCCCGTGGATTTAACAATTATCTCAGTGTCCGAACCGCTGGTTTGTGTAGCTCCTGCCTCAGGCTGACTCACTCTTTGACCAGCGCCTGCTCCCTCCCCCTGTCTCCGAGTCCTCATCCTTCACTGGGCGGTCTGACTTCTTTAAATGCTTTCTGCAGGTTCCTACCGGACCGACAAGGGCTGGTTTGGACTGAGGGGGGAGCAGTGCCACTCACTGTGCCAAGGTCACTTAAACCATAACAGTACAGTTGGCTCCCTGTTCTGTGTGGCTTCCTTCAAGGGCCTTCCCATGTGGACTGACTGAAGAACGAATCTGAAGCTGGACTTTATCTCCCATTGGGGGGATTCTGCAAGCTTGAAGGCAGAAATTCAAAATTTAGCCTATTCACCTTCTTCAGGGTTCTTCAAATTCTCTTTAAACAATTTCATGTCTCCATGTTCAGCATCTCGCAACATCTTTCTTTAATCTTTTTGTTATGCCAAAACCCTTAGTGTTCTGGGAAGTCTGTAAGTTAACATTACTCATTATTAATTGCTTCTTTTCAAGGCTGCCTTCCACCCTCCTATAACGAGGAACTGATCTACATGTGTAGTTTAGAATAGTTATTTTAGTAAATTTCCTGGTGCATACAAGGCTTTGGCATCACAATGATATAAAAATAAATAAATTAATGTTTCCCAATCTAAAATTCTTAACCTATTAATCAAAGCTGGTAATGATTAAGCCTAAGCTAAACTACAATACAAGACAGAAAATGTACAGCAACTTTATGGCTTCAACTTACTCTAACTGAGAATGTGCCAACACAGAATCTTATAGAAACTTGTCTTAAAATAGTGACTGTTCTTGCCTGTATATTGTTCTGCTTTAGACTCCCTTGCATCATGAAGTTTTGATTCACTTTTCTCATTTACTCACAAACATCTCCAGGTTAAGGGAACCTTAAAAACAAAAAGGATCATAATACTGCATTTGATGCCACTAGAGGATTAAGCAAAGCATGTTCCTCGCAGTGGAAAGGTTATATCAACAGTTGTGTTTTGCAGCGTGCTCTGAAGGCCAGCAATGCCTGTGCTGTTGAACTGTTACAGTGCTTTCTTTTCAGGCTGTATACTTTTCTTGTTTTCTTTTGTTGTGGGTAAGTATTTTGATTTCCTACATAAGATATGTCACACAACGGAATAGTGTATAATGTCAAGTTAGGACCAGTGGACACTTTATTCCTCTGTAGATTACGTACAGAACATGGCAGCAACACAAGAATGGTATTTCTCAAATTTAAGATGGAGAATTATTTAAATTATTTGGAAGAGAAACTGTCACCTGTTTCTACCATACATTGTGGAAATCAGAATTATGTCAGCAATTCCTACCATTTTGGATAAGCTGTGGGTGTGATGTCAGTTATTAATTGAAATAAGTAAAATTTGGTGAAAAAAATAACATAAAAAAACCTCAAAAAGGATATGCAGAATAAAAATAGAGCTTACATAACAGTGAAACAGTAAGAACTAGATAAAAACAGATTCCAGTTAGAGAAAAACACAGCCCAAGTAGTCAACAGCCTGGCCCTGAGACAG